CAGAATCGACTGTTTAGTAATGACATGCATGGGACTCGGCGAGTCGTTCTTCAGACTCGACGAGTCGAGTCGCGAGTCCCCGATTTTCCCCATTTGAGAGTCTAAAGTGGAATCAGTGAGTAGGTTATGGACTCGGTGAGTTAAGGCTCAGATCTAGTAGTGGAGGGACTCGACGAGTTGTTCATACAACTCGGCGAGTCAAGGACCGATCTTATTCATAGGATGAAGGAGAACTCAACGAGTTGTTCATACAACTCGGCGAGTCAGATGAAGATGAACTAGATGCTAGTATCGAAGAAGAACTCGTCGAGCCTTTGCCAAACTCGACGAGCATAAGCGCGTAGAGGATCAGAAAGGATGAAAGGGACTCGGCGAGTTGGCGGCCCAACTCGGCGAGTCCGGTCAATTGAAAGTTGACTTTGACCAGGAAGTTGACTTTGACCAGGGGTAAAATAGTCATTTTACCCTGAGATTAGTTATCAGTATCTGATTTAGTGTTTATGGGATTTGTAGCCGGGGAGTTCCGGAGCAGCAGTCAGACAGTTGCAGATTTAGCACCTCAGCCGCCAGCGTTACGAGGTGAGTTTTCCTCCCAGTAGGAACGGGTATACGGCCACAATGCCGGCCCGTTTAGATAGCAGAAGTTCCGGACTTTGGTCCGATGCAGTAGTTCAGTATGCTTGATGTCTTTGTGATTCAGGCATGTTTATGTGTTAGTTAGTCCGGACCTCGGTCCGATGCAGTATGCAGTATATGTGCTTATGTTATTTGCTATGATCATGTTATGCTATGTTCAGTTAGTCCGGACTTCGGTCCGATGCAGGGGCAAGGACCCAATTAGTCCGGACTTTGGTCCGATGCAGGGGGCAAGGCCCCAGTTAGTCCGGACTTCGGTCCGATGCAGGGGGCAAGGCCCCAGTTAGTCCGGATTTCGGTCCGATGCAGGGGGCAAGGCCCCAGTTAGTCCGGACTTCGGTCCGATGCAGTGGGCAAGGCCCAGTATGTGCTTTATATGTTATTATATGGTATGTGGTAGTTTGGGGGAGCTCACTAAGCTTCGTGCTTACGGTTTTCAGTTTTGGTTTCAGGTACTTCCACTAGTAAGGGGAAGAGCTCGGGATGATGGCATGACACACACCACAGCTTCAGTTTATCCTGGGAGTTTTATTCATACATTTTGATATGTTTTGACATCAGTTGATTTGATTAACTTATTATGACATTTTGAGACGTATGATCCATGGATTTATCTTTTAATATTTAATATTATGGTTTAGTAAAGTTTTCAAACAATTTTTTTTTTGGGTTGTATTTTTGGGATGTTACAGGGTTTCTCATATAGCCGCCAACACGTCGAGTTTCCCCTCACCAACACGTCGTGTTGGTCCATAAAAATACGCGGCCCAAAAGTCCTTCAACACGCCGTGGTGAGGCTTCCACCACGCGATGTTCCAATGGAAAGACATGCTTAAAGGAATAAATCTCATACCTGGGAATCGAGATGTTACATATAGTCTCTATGTGCTTATTGTTAGGAAAACATAACCCCAGGATCTACACGAAATAACAAACAATAAATTGTTATTGAGGCCTATGTTTGACACGGTTTCCTTAAAACAAATTCGCCATTTATGGGTGTTTGTTTTCCAGGATACAACAGTAGAAAGCAATTCTTCTAGATTGCCTGAACCCTCTCCTGACCCAGTTATACATTGGTTGCAGCAAAATATGGAAGCAGAAGCAAAAAAACAAGAGAGAAAGAGGAGACTGTTTTTGATTCATTCGGTGAAAACTAAACAAACAAGGAGATGCTTTATTTATACTGTAAATCGTAATTGATGTCATTATACATCAAAACGTAACAGTTAATTTAATGGCATAACTAATTGGTAGATCAAAACTGAAATCTCTCATTAATAGCCTTTAATTCGGGTTTGTAATTGTAAATCAAAAAGAAAATAATTGTAAAAAGGTCCTTGAACTTTTCTGGTCTACCGGTGGTGCATTAGTTCCCGCAGGACGCGCACTCGCACACAAGTTTAGTAGCCCGAAGCCAAACTGGCTTGCATTTGCACCCCTTGTGTGCTAGCGCAAGAGAGAGCCTTGGTTTCTATTAATCTTACAAAGGTAACTAGTCTTTGTAGTTGTAAACCAATTTCCTTTTCATTCTCCCACAAGTGTGGGATTAGTTAAAACCCACTTGACTCCTTTATTATTCTCTTCCAATTACCCTACTTTGACCAGTAATTTCTCATTCATTTTGAATCTGTTTTGGACGTGTGATATATCGAAACGAAGATATCACAGATGAGAACACGAATATATAATCAATAATTCATTTTGATTATATTTGGAGTCCAAAATTCGTGCTAAAAATGATAAAAACTTATTTTTGGAAATTTATTTTCCAACACTTATATGTTATTGTATTTGAATTATTCTTTACGGTTAAGTGAGGGGTTGACGGCTGAACGGCGATGGGTCGGGAGCCTATAGACCCGTGTTGACGACGAAATGACAAGTAGGCCGTAAGTCTAAAGACATACATACTCGTGTTGAAGACGCAATGGCAAGTAAACCGTACGTGTAAGAGACACATATTATTGGTGGATTGGCAAAACGTTCATGAGCTAATTGGTGGATCGGCGAAAGTCCGTGAGCCATTATTTGTATGCATGTATATGTATTACGATATGTGGTATGTTGGGGGAACTCACTAAGCCCCGTGGTTACCCAGTTAATTTCAAATGTTTTCAGGTACTTCTTCAGATCATGAGAAGGTCAAGCCTTGACTATACACACACATCGACATCATATTTTCCACATAATTTAGTTATACTCTGATTAAGTGAATAAACAAAAATGAAAAAAAAAGAATTATGGTAAAAATCGGGATGTAACAATATAACAACTTAAAAACTGAATTTAACGTTTGAAGGACAAACCATGATATTTTTGGAAACCACATGGATATATGATAAGTGTTTGTCCTCAATTTGAAAAGCAAAAAAGACCATTTCTGTAAATTTTTGTAAAGTAAATTACACTAATCGTCTCTCGTGCAGGTGTCAAAATGCACGTTCAGTCCATATTTTGAAAATTAACTTGGACCGTCCCTGGGTTGTCATTTCCTTACTCACTTTCCTTGCCTGCTTAATCGTTATCCTCGTTCGCGGTTAGTGGTTAATGTTTAAGTGCCCGGGTATCATGCACACAAGGGTATTTTCTTGCTTTCAAGTCTAATACACTTCACCTATTAAACTAAGAACACATACACTCCTTCCCCCCATCTTTCTCTCTCTCTCTCTCTCTCTCTCTCTCTCTCCATAAGAATCAATGGTGAGTTTGGGGGTTTATCCTTAGAAACCTTGCAAATCAAAGTGATATTTTCACCCCCACCAGTAGCATATGTCGGTCTCATATGTTTTTTGATATGTAACTGGTAGCCCTCACAAACTGCAACTTTATTTAGAGTTTTTTTTTTCCTATTCACGTTTTAAGGAGAGGGAGATGAGGCAGGTTAATGTTTTTTTTTTTTGTATTTTTTATGCATGATTTAAGGAGATGCTCGATCTGTAAGCAGTAGTCGACACAACAACTAACATATGGTACAACCACATGCAACATCACAACAAGACGTAAATTGAAGATAATAACGAATTCTCTATAGGGATTTCACTCAACTAATGAAATTATCATCGAGAAAAAAAAACATAGCCTCTCATCAACATTTAATTATTGATTTTGGTGTGCAACTGTTCGAAGGTATAAGTATTTTTAGCAGCGATTATGGGTTTTAGTGTTTATACTCTGATGTTTCTATACTCTTTTTTACATTCTGAAATCATTGTGCAATATTCTTTCTAAAATCATCTATGTGTGTGCATATATGTATATGATTTTAGTTGTTTATTGAGAGAGAGAGAGAGAGAGAGAGAGAGAGAGAGAGAGAGAGAGAGAGAGAGAGAGAGAGAGATTAATGATGCTAAAACCTACGCAGTTTCATTTGGGGCTATATATATATATATATATATATATATATATATCTATATATATATATATATCTATATATATCTATATATATATATATATATATATATATAGTAAAGTCCTAATATTTTCAATGATTTGACAAGAAAGTCATAAATTTTTTTTTACAGTAAAGTCCTAACTACCAGTAGTTTTTGACATGGCCGGTTAGCCGGTAATTAAGACTAGACTGTAAAAAAAATAAAGTTTAGGACTTTCTTGTCAATTCGTGAATTAGGACTTTACTATAAAAAAAATAAAGTTTAGGACTTTCTTGTCAAATCATTGAAAATATTGGGACTTTGGTTTATATATCCCTTAAGATAAATTTGAAAATATATGTTTAAGAAGGGCAGTTTCGTCTCTTTGTGTTTGTACAAACCGGAAAACACTAATAATACACGCCCAGTCAAAAGGGTGTGAATGTGGAGAAGGGGTAAGAAAGGTAGTTTGTCTTTTCCGGTTTCTTAGTTCTCTGTTTTTAGGACTACAAAAAACCAACACAACCTTGATTTTTTCTTTCTTTCTTGATTATCTCCATTTTTTTCAATGCGGTTTGTTAAGATTAAAAAAAAACTATTTAACAATAATCAAACATTCAGGATTTTAATATGATCTAGCTGACTACAGAGCAGATTCCACTAAATCTTATGCTTAAAGACTACCATACCATTAAAATTCTAATAAAAAGTGATATATATACACTAAAGTCCCAATATTTTTAATCATTTGAAAAGAAAGTTCTAAACTTTATTTGTTGACGTTAAAATCATAATTCATGATTTAACAAAAAAAGTCTTAAACTTCATTTTTTTACAATAAAATTCTAATTACAGTTAACTCGCAAAAAAAAATAAATAAATAAATAAACCAGTCAAAAACTGCCACGACTTGTAATTTAGAATTTACTTGTAAAAATTGTTTTCATTTATATTTATAGAGAAACTACTATCAACAATCTCTTCGCTTCTCTGAATTTCGATTGACATCACCAAAAGAAGAAGGGCATGAAGAAATCCGAGCCACCAAAGGCAGCAAAACGCGAAGATGGGGTCGATTTGATCAGTAGCATGCCGGATGATATTCTTGTTTCGATTCTTTCACATCTTCCGCACACCGAAGAAGTTATTCGAAGCAGCATTTTGTCCGAGGTATTTGTGGACTTCAATTCCGTCTCTTGACATATACTGTTTTCGAGGATCCAAGGATCAACGAAATTTCAAAAAAAAGCAAATTCGAAGAGTTTGTGTATTGGGTTTTAGCAAACAAATCCGTCGATTTGGATAGGTTCCATCTAGGTTGTGCTAATTACTACAGTATGTCGACGGTAGGGCGGTGGATTCATGTCGCCGTTACAAGAAATGTCAGACAGCTTGAGTTAACGTTTTGCCCTAAGGAGGACAGTGAGGATGTGGAGATACCTAATTGTCTTGTGACTTGCGGTTCGTTGGAGGTATTAACATTGAATATGTTGGAACGTCGTCTAAGGTTGCCTAATATTATGGGGTTTCGGGCACTTAGGGTTCTTAAATTGACCAGTGTTAATTTATTGGGAGATGATGATTTGGTAAAAGGTTTCCTCGAAAGCTGCCCATTGCTTGAGAAGTTGAGTTTGATATCCTGCTTCATGAACGAACTTGATGTTCTTTGTATTTCATGTCCGAAGCTAGAAATGTTAAGAATTGAAAATGACAAAGATGAGTGCATGTGTGATGGCATTATGATATATTGTCCAAAACTGGTGGATTTGGATTTAAGAGGTCATATAGCTTATAATTTTTTCTTTGAATGTCGCTGTTTCCTGGAATTTCTAGAGTAGAATATTTGTCTATCTATCTCCACTTCTTCATTCAGGTAGATGCATGCTTATAGATTTTTAAAAGTCTCATTGGTTTTCATCAAACCTTTGTCATTATTGCAGTGCCTTGATGGTGCATGTGATCCCTCTCTACCTAATCTGAGGAATCTTGTGCTTAATACAACTATGGATGCCTTCACCATGGATAACTTCAAACGAGTTCTCAAATATTATCCCAAACTGGTGTATCTCGAGTTGGTCATTGAACAGGTATTCTCATATCAATTGGTTGTCTTTTTTTTATGTATCACATTCTTGAAGCACGTTGCTTCACTTACACTCCTTCCTTGTGTCTTATGCATCTAAATTCCAAACCTAGGCGAAAATTTTGGCCTTTTTACCTATAAATTGGTTAGTCAAGGTTATATTTTATCAAATGAGTGGATTTTATTTTACTAAAAATGCAAGGTGATCAAATGGGTGAAACGGACCAAAGTCGCTTAAAGTATATTTTATTGCTTACAACCTTCTAAATCGTTTATTAAAAAAAAAACTTATGCTTTTGTTTGATGCTTTAGGATTTTCATGGAAAATACGCGTGTTTGGATAAAGATGAAACAATGAGAATCTCGACTCCTGATATGAAAAAAGTCTGAGTTTTTTGAATTTAATGGAGAAAAGCCGGAACTACTCATAGACTGGTGTGGAGATAAATTGGATATGTTTTTCACTTGGGGGTGACGTAGCCAGTTTCTGATAAACTGTAAAGTAGCATCTAACTTACCTATCCATGTGATGGGATGGGGGAAACTAGATTTTCTGGTTTTATTTGGATGCCTTTTGTATTTGGATTTTTGTTTCATGTTGGCTTCTTTTTCAACTATAACTAGAAAAATACTTGTTTGGTTCTTCTATAAAAACTACAACACAACACTAATTGCAACATCAATATGTAAAACCAAAAACACGTATGTAACCATAGCAACATAACATTTGCACCACCACAAAAATGGAATTCATAGTTTAGGGGGTAGAGAAGAATAAATATCAAAATACATAGTTTTTCTCCATCAATTCTCAAGAGTAGAAAAAGAATTTTACACACTTAGGCGACCATGTAAGTTGTAGCATCTGAGATCAAGGTTGAGGTATACCCTAAGTGAGAAATTGAGTATTTCAATTAAGTGAAATAACAGAAGAGTTGTAAAGAGTAAATGGCCATTTTAGCACAAATCCAAAGTATGATGCTATTTTAGAGTCTAATTTGTTTTGTTTTTTCTTCATCGTAATAGGGTGCTTTACTCTAATTTTATAAATTAGAGTTAGCTATGATTAAAGAGAGTCTTGGAGTTCGACTTTGGAAAATTTTATAAAAGTTAAAGTATGTTGCTATCTTTTGTAAAGAGTGCAATCTTATGATGAGGGGGATTGGTGAATTAAAATTACACAAACTAAGTGTAATTATATACAAATACATACTTCACATGTAATGTAACACCAATAGCCGGTAATTTTCCTCATTTACCACCAATTTGCAAATTAGTAGTCAGCTTCTTTAACTTCCAGATTGTTTGGAATTAAGATGTCAATAGAAATAAAGATTAACACAAAGAAAGCTTAAATCCAAAACATGCAGCAGGAATTAAAATGTCAATCAAAGTAAACATTAACAAAAGAAAAGTAAGATCTCTTGATCTGATTAGGGCAACACCATCAATCATTTTTTTTTACAAAAACCATAAAATTCATGGCATCTGCAACAATTTATTCAATATTTTATGAGATGAAAAACACCTACTCTCTAGAGCAAAGATTCATTCAACTCCAAAAATTAACCTAATATAATCTTATATGCACCAAAATCAAAGAACTTTATACTAAAAGGAAAAGGGCGTGCTTTTTCACAAGAACAAGAACTAGAACAAGAACAAGAACAAGAATGAAATAAGAAAAATGATAGATTTGATAAACAATCTAGACCTATAGATTGAATATCCGATGAAAACAAGTTAAAACCTGTTAACTTGAATTCTATAAAGATCAGGAAAGCATCCGTCAAATGATATTTGATGACAAGCCAAGACTTATTGACTTGAAATAGGGATGTCAAAAATTATCGTGGAATCCAAACTCATAGGGCCCGATCCCATATGGGGGATATTTGTTAAAATAAGCGGGGGCGGGGACGGTGACGGGGGCAAGGTTAATCCCGTTTTAATTTCGGGGGCAAGGATAGGGATAGGCAGTCCCGTCCCGAACCCCAATAGGGGCCCCGTTAATATATTATATATATTTATATATTAATTATATAAATATAATAAATAATAACAATGATTTTGAGCTTCCAAAAGTCAACAAAAAAAAATCATATTTTTAATTTGTTAGTATAACGTTTTTGAGATGTGCTAATATTTTTTGTTTTTAACATTGAAAATTATGTTATAAATAACTATTTTTAACCCAAAAAATAGCTTCTTTAAGCCTAAAAGCAACTTCTTTTAGCCCAATAAAAAAAATATCCCAAAATCAATCAGGGGCAGGGAAACGGGGGTGGAGGTAGGGGTGGGGAGGCTGGAAATTTCGGGGGCGGGGGCGGGGGCAGGGGAATTAGAAAATTTCAAGGGTAGGGGCGAGGGATGCAAGCCCCGTCCCGTTTGCCCCCGTTGACATCCTTAACTTGAAATCGAGTCACGAATGAGAAACGCGTCCCAAACAATGATAACAATCCGAGTTACATGTAATAATTCAAGAAAGCAAGAACAAACATTCTTCAAAATTCAAATTTAATTCTATTCATGATTACAATGCTTTAAGGGGCTATTTATATCCTTACAAGCTATTACAAAACGAAACTAATTACAAAAAGGAAACTACCTAATAAAAGCTTAAAAGAAAATAAAATCGTTTCCAAAAAAATAAGGTAGAGTCTAGAATCTTCGTCCTTAAGATAACCATGAAAAAGTCCACGCAATTAGCCATGCAAACCCATCTTGTATCGAAACCGATCCCAAGTAGCTTGCATCCAACAACATCGCATCTAAGTAGTCCTTCAGAACCAATATCCATATAGTTCCGAGGTTGTTCACAATCACAACACTCCCCGAAGTTCGCCTCTGACAGTACTCCGAGATTCGCATCGTACCGTACTCCAAGAATCGCAATTGCAACCGATCACAAGGGACCCATCGTACCGATAACACAAGACTCCGATTCATTCCGATGGTTCGGAACTAATCACAACTAATGACACTTGGACCGCAACTGTTCATAAGCGATCACAATGGATTGCGATCGTTCGCATCAATTCACAACCAACGCCCTTCTCGGAGTTTAACCATTTGCATTCAATAATACTCGATTTGCATCCAATAACAAGACACTGCGACTCATTGCGACCGTTCGCAACTAGTTGCAACCAGTCGCAACTACTACTCGGTTTGGAAATTAAGAGGCTGCCTTTTGCATTCGTATCATCCCCTCCCCATTTGAAAGGAATTGTCCTCAATTACAAGGGGGAAAAACTTTGTTATTTAGCAAAGACCGCATTTTCTTCAACAATTTTGTTCTAATCAACAAAATCGATTTCTTCCACAGTTGCTTCATCAATTTTGTTTTCAACCACAAAATTATTTTCTTCAATGACTTCTTCATTCCCATCGACATCAGCAACATCATACACCTGGGCCTCATATTTTTCCTCTTCTTCTGGCTCATGAGTTTCTTCAATCACAACAGTAGATTCTTTAGTCACATCCAATTTCCCTAGCCTTGATTCAGAAATTTGAGGATAAGTTATGCCTGAGTAAATTGCTAGAGAATATCTTTCTCTGAGTTTGCGCTTTAGATCTTCCCCATGACGAGATTTTCTTCTCCCCTTTCCGAGTTCTTCTGGCCTTCAGTCCTTCATACGAAATGGACGCTCCTACCCTAAACCTCAGAATCGCATACTTGCATCTTATCTCATTACCTAATCCTTTGGACTCAACAATTTCTTCAATCTTCTCATTGACGTTTTAACATTCCTTGGTGGATGCCGCCTTTCTCCTTCTTGCAAACCACGTAGTGCTTCATGTAATCTGATTAAGAAACTTGGATCGCCAAAATCCATGGCTTCTTAAGATGCGATTTCAACCGAATCAACAGTAAAACCTGGATAAGAAAAATCAAACACGAAAATCACAACAACAAATCAAACTCCACCAAAACAGCAGATCTTGACAACAAATGAAATCCAACAAACTTAGTAGGATTGTTTTTTAAACACGACATCAAAAGTCGAAACTGAGCTCTAAAAAACACTTGGCATGAATTTTAGCTCTGATACCACATATAATATGAATATCGGGGGGGGGGGGGGGGAGGGGGGTAATTTCTTTTGGGGTTTTTATGAACGCAGCGAAAAAAGAAACAAGAACAAGAACAAGAACATGAATAAAATAAGAAAAAGGATAGATTTGATAAACAATCTAGACCTATAGATTGAATATCGGGTGAGAACAAGTTAAGACCTATTAACTTGAATTCTATCAAGATCAAAAAAGCATCCGTCAAATGATATTTGATGACAAGCCAAGAGCTATTAACTTGAAATCAAGTCACGAATGAGAAGCGCATCCATAAAAATGACAACAATCTGAATTATACCCAATAATTCAAGAAAGCAAGAACAAACGTTCTTCAAAGTTCAACTTTAATTCTATTCATGATTCAAATGCTTTAAGAGGCTATTTATAACTTTACAAGTTATTACAAAAATAATGTAGAGTCTAGAATCTTCGTCCTTAGGATAACCATGCAAAAGTCCATGCAATTAGCCATTCAAACCCATCTTGTATCGGAACTGGTCCCAAGTAGCTTGCATCCAATAGCATCACATCTAATTAGTCCTTCAGAACCAATATCCATGCAGTTCTGAGGTTGTTTGCAATCACAACACTCAGAAGTTCGCCTCTGATAGTACTCTGAGATTCACATTGGATCGTACTCCTAGAATCGCAATCGCAACCGATAACAAGGGACCTGTTGTACCGATAACACAAGACTTCGATTCCTTCCGATGGTTCGGAACCAATCGCAACCAATGACGCTCGGATCATAACTTTTCATAAGTAAGTGGGATGAATTGCGATTGTTTGCATCCAATCGCATCCATTCGCAACCAACGCCCTTCTTGGAGTTTAACCATTCACATTCAATAACACTCGATTCACATCCGATAACAAGACACCGCGACTCATTGCGACCGTTCGCATCCAGCCGCAACTACTACCCGGTTTGGAAATTAAGAGGTTGCCTTTTGCATTCGTATTGAACCCGATATGATATATAATCATTATCACCAATAAAGCATTTAAAACTAACAAAAAAAAATTTCAAGGGAGCTTTGATTAGCTGCCGGTGAAGAGAGAATTTTGTGAATCAATAAATTAAACAGTAACTTAGGTTATGAAGTAAATAAAATAATATGAAGCAAGAATAAAAAAAAAGTAGATAAATAGAACTTACCATCTCATTGAGACCATATCCGTGTAAATCCCGAAAAATATCAAGGAACCTATCCAAAAGCAAAGCATCATACTCGCAAGCTTCTTATCATCTGGACGGTGTATGTTTCCAACTTTCCATCGCATCACTTGTAGCACACGGTGGCAAATCTAGAATTTGGGTAGGTTGGGGGCACATATTCAAATACAACAAGTCAAAATAGTTTTAAATATCGATCGAGTCAAATGGTCTATTTTCCATTCCAAATTATAGAAAAAAAACTTATAAAGATGGTGGTGTAGTTATTCCAATTTAAAAAATCATAACATATTCTAGCCAAAATTCATATATTTCCTA